AGGTGGCATTTTCCCCCCGACAAGAATAGCCAGAATGTTGGGCTGCCCCCTAACCCCACTGGATGAAATCGCCAGGTCCGGCTGTCCGAGCAGAGAGAGGGAAATCCTGAGGCCCTGGACAGCATCTCCTCGTTCTCCTGCCATCGGGCAGGAGCTAAAGAAGCAGAGCCAGCCGGACAAATAGGCGGAAGAACAGCTTTTATCCACTGGCCGTCAGACTACTAAAGGAAACGTAACACCACGATCAGGCTTAATGTGATAGACTTACCGTGCCGGTATATAAACCAATGTAATATTAATATTATCTCCCGAGGGGTTGTGGATGCTCCAACACTGGAAGTTTTGAAAAAGATGTTGGACAGCCATTTGTCTGAAGTGGTGCAGGGTTTCCTGCCTAGGCAGGGGGTTGGACTAGAAGGCCTCCAAAGTCCCTTCCAACTCTGTTATTCTATGTCTATATCTATCTGCCTGCCTGCCTGCCTGGGGAAAGGTGTGCTGGTTTATTGCTTATCTAGGGTTAGGGATTTCTTTATTCTTTCTTGATTTATTGAGGTGTATTCTGTGGGAGGCCCATCCAATGTCATTGTACGCACCTTGTGCACTGACAATAAAGAGTTGAACTTGACTCTCTGATCCGTGGATTCCTTTTTGATCACTGGGGGCTGTTCTTGTGCCCCCCTTTTTCTGCCCCTCCGAGGTTTCAGAGGCTGGGCTCAGCAGCCCTGAGGTCACTTCGGCCAGCCTGGACCTTGGCCTCATTTTTTGGGGGGGGGTCAGGGGAGCCCCCCCCCCAGCAGCATCCCCCCCCCCGTCTCCTTGCAAGCAGCCTCTGCTCCCGAGAGAAAGGAGCAGCCCCAAACAGGCCCCCTTTGACCCTTCCCCAGAGAGGGGCAGGGGGAGTTTAGAGCCCTCTCCAAATTACAGGTGGTCCTTGACTTACAACAGTTCATTTAGTGACCGCTCACAGTTAAAAAAGATCCCCCCAAAAGTGACTTATGGCCGTTTTTTCAGAGTTATGACCTTTGTAGCATCTCCTGGTCACGTAGTCAAAATTCAGACACTTGGTAACTGACTCGCATATACGACGCTTGTGGCAACGTCCCTGAGTCACGTGATTCCCCTTTGCGACCTTCTGACAAGCAAAGTCAACAGGGAAGCCAGGTTCACTCAGCAACCATGTCACTAACTGAACAACTGCAATGATTCACTGAACAACTAGGGCAAGAGAGGTTGTAAAATGGCGCAAAAATCAACAACTGCCTTGCTTAGCAACAGAAATCTGGGGCTCGGTTGGACCAGCTGCATGAGAAGGGAACAAGGCCGACTTCCTTGCTCAAGACGGGAAACACAAAATAATGATTAAAAATAGGACCAAGCAGGCAGGACCCCGATAAATGTCGAGGGACAAATGCCGAGAAGGCTTGGAAGCCTTGGGGCCCCGGCAGAGCCTGCACAACCGTCTCTTGGGGTGAAGGCCCTCCCGCTCCAGGGACTGGAATGTGGGGCTGCGCCTGCTGCCAAGTCTTGCCGGGGCAAAAGGCCAAAGCTGCCCAGTGGCCGTGCTACCCTGGAGCACCACGCCTTCCGAGCGCGGCATGGGTGGTGTCTGCAGAACCAGGGAAGCAGATCTCCGGAGGGGAGGAGAAGGCGGCCACCGGGGCAAGCGGAAGGCTCCCTCCATCTGGTAAGAGGCAGCCGGGGGGGGGGGGGGCGGGGGGCTGCTGACGGTGTGGGGGCCCTTTGCCCCGGCTCCCCCTGCGGTGGCAGGGAGGGGTCTTTCCCGGCCCGTCGCCCTGTTTCATGCCCCAAGGGAAGTCGGCTTGGCTTCGGCCAAGCTTCGGATGGGGGGCTGGGTGCCTCGCTGCCTTGGCCCTCCTGGGCGAGCGGCTTCTGCTGTTCCTTTGCGGGGGCTGCGGGGGAGTTCGGGGAAGGTGACGCTCTGCTTCCCCTGGGAAATAAACAGCCAGCCCACCTAACGGTTTCCCCTCTCTGGCCACGTCCGACTGGGCGTGCTGCTCATCTCTGTGTCTCGTCTCCAATGTCTCCAATGTCCGAAGACATTTATTTCCATAGTTATGTGGTCAGCCTGACTCTATGCCAAGGCACACAGAACGCTGTTGCTTTCCCATCAACGTGGTATCTACTCGCATTTGCAGGCTTTCCAACTGTCAGGTAGGCGGGAACTATGGGGAGGACAGGCGCTCAGCTCATGGCACGGTGCTCGGGGCTCGAACCCAGGCTGGCAGTTCTCCAGCTGACAAGCTCCGTGCCTTTAACCGTCGAGCCCTGGTGTTCCCCCTCCCCCGCCCATAGCACACATATAGCACCCCTTGTTTTGGGCTTTGGCCGGTGCTCCCCACCTGTCAGACTTCCCAGGTAAAGCAGGCAGGAATCCCGAGCAGAGGAAGCAATTCTACTCAGAGGTGGGCGGCTGCCGGTTCGCACAAACTGGTAGTTAAGATTCTGTGCCGTTCGGCAAACTGGCAAATCCCACTCTAGCCCTACACCTTCCCCCCGTCCCCCAAGGCCACCCACACTTTCCGATGCAGGAACAAGAGCCCCGGAGGGTTGCAACGGCCCAGCCAAACGGTTCCTCACCAGAGCAACCAACTAATGTGGTGGGAGATCTCTAAGGGGAGCAGGGTAGATCTCTGGCCGCCCCAGCTTGGCACAGCCAATGGGTTTCCTTCTGGCCTCTTCCTTTGCCCAGGGAAGCCGCATGGCCGGTTGCCCTCCTGCCCTGGCTGTGAAGTGGGATCAGGCCGATGGCACAGCCACAAGCGATCCAATTGTCAAAGAGTCAAGTTGGCAGCCAGCCCTGGGATTTTACAGTATTTTGTTGCGTCCTCAAAATATCCCTTTTCCTTTCAAAGAGGGGATTCACTGGCAAAGAATTGGTGGCCCAAACCTTCTCTCCCTGCTTGGGAGGAGGAGGAGGAGGAGGAGGAGGAGGAGGAAGGGAGGAGGAGGAAAACTGGAACTGTCACTATTAACATTGAGATAAGCCATGTTTTGAAAGCCAGCAGACCATTCAAACCTGGTGACAGGATGCAGACAACCTGGAAAGTGCCTTGCGGGATTTATGGCTCCCCGTCAGCCAGAACAAGGGGATCCGAAGAATCCTGGTTGGGGGTTCAGTGAATGGATACCTCACCCCCACCCGGGCCATCCCAAACCCTGGAAGGATGGAAGGCAGCCGTGGTTACTGGCTGCTGCCTCCAAGGGTTTTTCCCTCCATCAACACAAGATAACTGGCACAGAGCGGGGGGGGGCAGGGGGGAGGCGGTGAGCTAGGCAGAAATTAATCTATTAAATGTATAGGCTTCCCATCTATTTGAGGGGTGGGATTTGCTCGTGGGACCGTGGAAGTAACCCTAAAAACATGTGAAGGGGAACAGACAAGTTGAAGAGGAGGAGGAGGAGGAGGAGGAGGAGGAGGAGGAGGAGGAGAGAAAGGAAGAACAATTAACCAGTGGAACAGCCTCCCTCCAGACGTTGTGTGGTTGCTCCAACAGTGGAGGTTTTGAGGAAGAGACTGGACAACCGTTTGTCTGAAATGCTACAGGGTCTCCTGCCTGAGCAGGGGGTTGGACTAGAAGACCTCCAAGGTCCCTTCCAATGCTGTTTTTCTGCTATCTAACTATCATGGCACAGAACCTCTTTCTCAATAATTGATTTTGTCCGGGAAGAGGCTCCAGTGGGGCTGGCAAAGGAGCTCTTGTGTAACACGGCCTCTCGCGCTGCTTCAGGGCCCAACGGCTTCCCCTCGTGCCGGTCAGCTGCTGTTTGGGATGCCCTTGAATGCATCCCCCTCGCTTTCTGGAGATTAAAAATAGTCCTCAGACAGCTGACCAGCGCCTGTGTGTGTGTCTGTGTGTCTGTGTGTGTGTGAGTGTCCCAGGGCAGGAGCTCTTCTGCACCAGTTGGCTCTTTTAGAGGAAGATGGAAAGTGGATTTAGTGCTATTTCGGCAAATAGAGAAACCTGTAGTCCAAGAAGAGCACAGGAGGACTTCAATGCCCAGAAGCTGTTCTGGCCGGGGGATTCTGGGCGCTGCAGTCCACCTGTCTGGAAGTAGCCAAGGCTGGACACTCGACCTTAGATGTGCCATACAGGTAGCCCCACCTCCCTTGTCCACCCTGGCTGGGGAAGCCTCTGCAGGACTGCTACCAGGGATCACGCCTTCGGGCCCAGCCCAGAGATGGCGCCACAGGTGGGCAGCCAGGTGGACGGGGCAGGTGGGCCCAGCTGAGCTTTCCTGGGGAGGGAGCCAGGCAGGGCCAGAGGGAGGCTGTTCCCTCCTCCGGTACAAACGTTTCCCGCCTCGGATCGGCGCAGCCATTTTCAGGGGCAGGAGAGGCGTAGTTGCAGCACCGGGGGGTCCTCAACCTGCAACCATCCGTTCAAAGTTACAACATGGAAAAAGGGACGTGGCCGTTGATCGCACTTCTAACCATTTCAGCGTGAAACTCTGGCCACTGATTCACAGTTACAGCGGTTGTTGCAGTGTCCCAGGGTGATGTGAGTTGCCCTTTTGTGAATTTCTGACAAGCAACATCAACGGGGAAGCCAAATTCACTTAACAACCATCGTATTCATTTACCAACTGCAGTGATTCCCTTAACAACGGTGGCAAGAAAGGTAACTCAATGGGGCAAAACTCACTTAACAACTAGACATGTTGGGCTCAATTATGATTGTAAGTGGAGGATTACCTTGATTTTTTTAAAAAAAAGGCACACCGGAGAGACCTATTTCTCTGATTTCCATGGTGCTGGAATGAGTTTCGTTTTCTAAACGTTTCCTCTCCGTTTCCCCGCTCCCTTTATTCCCTGCAGAGAAATAAAATCTGGGGGCGGCAGAGCCTCTGGAGGAGGAGGAGGAGGAGGAGGAGGAAGGAGGCACCCCTCGGCACCCCACGGTCTTGGCACAACTGGATTTGGGCATTGACTGTTGTTGTTCCAGAAGCTGCAACACTCTGAGCAGAGCCTGCGGAGGAGCATGGGCCTCGTAGTCCACCTGCTGGTCTGCCTGCTGGGCACCGGCTCCTGGGTGGCCATCAATGGCATGTGGGTGGAGCTGCCGCTGATGGTGCCCCGCCTGCCCGAGGGCTGGCTGCTGCCCACCTACCTGACGGTCATCATCCAGCTGGCCAACCTGGGGCCCCTGGCCTTCACCCTGGCGCACCGCTTCCTCCACGGCCGGGTGGACGAGGTGGCCGTCATTTACGGGCTGCTGGTCCTGGGCTGCCTGGCCTGCCTGCTGCTGGCCTTCTTCTGGCAGGAGACGCGGCTGCTGGGCGCCTCCCGCTACAGCCTGGCGCTGCTGGTGCTCCTCTTCTTCCTGGCCCTGGTGGACTGCACCTCCTCCGTCACCTTCCTGCCTTACATGCGCCGGCTGCCCTCTCGGCACCTCACCAGCTACTTTGTGGGCGAGGGGCTGAGCGGGCTTCTCCCGGGGCTGGTGGCCCTGGGGCAGGGGGCCGGAGCAGTTCGGTGCGTCAACGCCAGCCTGCTGGGCAACGGCACCACGGAGCTATTGGCCGAGTACCAGGAGGCCCGTTTCTCCGTCCGCACCTTCTTCTTTCTGCTGACTGGCCTGATGGCCTCCAGCCTGGCAGCCTTCCTCGTCCTCAACCACCTGCCTCGGCTGGCAAAGGGGAGCCGTGCCTGGCAAGGGAGCCTGGATGGCGCAGCCGCCACGGGGACGGGGTGTCCCATGCTCAGTCCCCCCGACTCCGGCGCCGGCAGGGCCCCCTTCCGTGTCCGGAGGGCCTTTGTCTTCGGGCTGATGGGCTGGGCCAACATGCTGACCAATGGCCTCCTCCCCCCGCTGCAGTCTTACTCCTGCCTGCCCTATGGCCGCCCCACCTACCACCTGTCCGCCACCCTGGGCAGCCTGGCCAATCCACTCGCCTGTTTCCTGGGGATGTTCCTGGTCAGCAGGTGAGCCAGGACGGGGCAGAGCCGTGCTAGAGAGAGACCTCAGCCCTGTTGACCGCCCGGGTGGGAACTGGGCCCACATGGGCCACCCAGCAGGCCCCCGAGAGCTGGTGGGTGGACACGTCCATTGGGGGGTCCTTTGGTGGACGATCTCCCTGCGACGGTGGAGGCAGCGGGGGTGCCCCAAAGCTCCCATGCCACCTGCACAGCTGGCACTGCCCTCCCACACAGCTGTGCTTACACAGAGCCCTGGTCTCCCGGCTGGGGGAGGGAGGGGGCTTGGAGAGATGTCCTCCCTTACCAAACCTGACCTGGCTCCCGAGACCCAGCCGGGCACCCGGACGCCCAAACGCCAACGCGGCACTCACAAGGGCAGCTGTGCCACTTAGGGGAGGGGCAGCCCGCCTTTGTGGCCAGAGAACCTCCGGGGGGTGGGGGGTGGGGGTAATGTCCTGGTTTGAGGAAAGGAACTCCTGATAAAGCAACTTCCCGTTTTGAGTGACATCCTGCCCACCCCCCCCCCCGGCCCTGGAAAAGCCCCCCCCCCCCCGGGAAGGTCCCTCTGGTCCCCCAGGTCACAGCTGCCCCCCAACCGCCAGTCTCAGGACTGGGAGCCTTTCATCAACTCCTGGAGACCCTCCGATGCCACGCCCAGGGGCAGCTCCCTGCCTGTGTGTGTGTGTGTGTGAGAGAGAGAGAGAGAGAGAGAGAGAGAGAGACGCATGGGGGCTTCCTCTCTCCCGGAAGAGGAAGGTGGGTCTCAGCAGAGCAGGCTGAGGTGGGCAGCCATGCGAAGGGGGGGGTGGGGGGGGTGAAGCTGGTGGAAGGCCCCTTCCTCCCAGGGAGCCCGGCTTCCGCACCCAGAGGGGAGAATGGAGATCTGAGTAATGTTGCTCTCATTTCATTCTGCACTGGTGGGAGGACACCCCCCCCCCCCCCCCCCCCCCCCCGCCCCCCCGCCCCGAACAGACTCGTCCCAAGAGTTTGGGGAGCAGCGGGGTCCCTGGCCTTCCTGCACCGGGGCCAGGAGTTGGGTTTCCCAGGCCGCACCTAGCGGGCAGGCAGGTGCCCGTTGCCCCCCTTCCCACCGCCTCTGCCCCCTGCCCCTTTTCAGGTCTCTGAAGCTGCTGGCTCTCCTCTCCGTGGCTGGATCTCTCCTGGCCGGTTATATCATCAGCATGGCGACCCTCAGCCCCTGCCCTCCCTTGCTGGACTCACCCCTCGGCGGTCTCCTCATCGTAAGTAAGGGCGGAGCCCCCACCCCACCCCAAGGCTGCAGGGGGGGGGTCAGCAGCGGGAGGGTCTCGGGGCCTGAGCCCAGCCGGTCACTCTCCCTGCCCTGGCCAAATCCACGGGGCCCCGTTCAGCTGCAGTGCGGCTCCTTGGTTCGCGGGTGTGGGGTGAACGCAGCCACCGTGGGGTGTGGCAGGGAGGGGGCTGAGCCCAGCTGGTTGCGGCTTATTCAGAAGACGGTTTGGGCTCAAGCCAAAGATCTTCTGGAGAGGCAGAGCCCCCCCCCCCCCCGTCCTTCGGCCTGCTGCTGGACAGCTTCCGGTTCGACACACAATGCCACATCGCGCAACGACAACAGAGGGGGACTGTGGCACCTTGAATTGGATTTAATTCTGTTTCTGGAGCAGCCCCCCCCCCCAGGAGAAAGGATTCTCCTCCCCACGCAGAGCAGTTCACGGGAGAGGGGAGGACCCTGCAATGGAGGAGACCAGGCTGGGGGTCGCCCCCCGCTTCCAAAGTTGCCCAAAGAGGCAGGGAATAGCCACAAGTGTGCGGACAAGGCTGCACAGAGTCGGCGGGGGGCGCCTGCAGGTGCCCCTGGCAGAGTCAAGCCGGCCCCGCACAGCCACCCTTCCAAGGGCAGTCCCAGGTCCCTCCGCCCATGGGGGTGGGTGGGGAAGGGGGCCCCGTGTGCCCCTCTGGGGGAGCGGGCTCTGATACCAGGGAGACCCCCAAGGCTCGACTGCTTCCTTTTTTCTTCAGGTCCTCTGCTGGGTCCTCTTCATCGGCCTCTTCTCGTACGTCAAGCTGATGATCGGGAAGATTCTGCGGGACGAGGGACGCAGCGCCCTGGTCTGGTGTGGGGCCGTGGTCCAGCTGGGCTCCATGGTGGGGGCTCTGGTCATATTCCCCCTGGTCAGCATCTACGGCTTCTTCCACTCGGGAGACGCCTGCAACTCCAGCTGCCCCGGCTAATGGTGCCACTGGGGCTGTTGCCATGCGATCTGCCAAGAGGCCCCTCCCCGCCCCCCGCCCTAGCCAATCAGAATAGAGCTGGAAGGGACCTCGAGGTCTTCTAGTCCAACCCCCTGCTCAAGCTGGAGACCCCATGTGCCATTCCAGGCAAGTGGCTGCCCAGCCTCTTCTTAAACGGCGCCATTTCGGCAGCACCGTTTCTGGAGGCCAGTCGTCCCACCGGTTAACCGTTCTGACTGTCAAGGAAGTTCCTCCGTCATGGCTGGTTCCTTCTCTCCTTGTTGAGTTCCCCCTCCGTTGCTTCCTGTCCTGCCTTCGGGGCTTTGGGGGAGAGCTTGGCCCCCTCCTCTTCTTTGGGGCAGCCCCTGAGATGTCGGAAGACGGCTACCATGTCACCCCCCCGGTCCTTCTTTTCTCCGGACTGGCCAGTGGCCACCCCCAAATCCTGCCGCCATTCTTCGTAGGTTTTAGTCTTTAATCCTCTCCGTTGTTCTTCTCGGCGCTTTTTCCAAAGTCTCAACATCTTGTTTTTTTTTATGTAACGTGGTGACCAAAACTGGATGCAGGATTCCAGGCAGGGTCTTGCTCAACAGGCTTTATAAATATATTAATCAATACTTCACATGATTTTGACTTTATGCCACGCCTCTCTCCGGCCTGGGAGATTGGGCTTCAGGTCAGCTCCGGTGGGAGGTGGGCTGGCGACCGGAGGGGCTCCATCCCTTTCCAGTATCCAGCTGCCCCCCCCGCCCCCCTCCCCACCCCGTGGCATTTGAGCTCCTTTTTCTTTTGCCGCGAATCGAATCGTGGAAGGGTTGGCAGCTCTTTCTGGAGGGGCCCAGCTGGTCTCTGCCTCCTTTCACCAGAGCAACGGGGGTGGGGGCAGAAGAATGGCATCTTTGTGAGTGGGGGGCCCCACCCCTAGGCAGCAGTCAGAAGGAGCAAACTCCTCCTTGACGAGTCTGGAGGCGACAGGCCAGGTTAGGAATTCAACCTCCCCCCAGCCCAGAAGACAGCTTGGATGCCCCTCCCCTGGTCAAAGGTCACCAGTTCGCTGTCTAAGTAGCCAGGGCAAATCCCACCCTGACTCCCCTCCAGGAGAAAACTCCCCAGCCCCTCCCCGCCCCCACCCCCACCCCCGGCAGCGCTACTGCCACCCCAGCCAAAGGGGGGCAGGCAGTCTTGAGCAAGTCCTTGGGGGTAGACCCAAGGACCTCGCCTGCAGTGCTGCCCAGGGCCACCAGGGGGCAGTAAGGCCCGCCCAAGAACCCAGAGCCGGTTCACCCTTCCAGAGGAGGGCGTGGGGGGCGCGGGGGAGGGGCGTGGGGGGACAACGCGCCCACCTTGGGCAAGTGAGTCATCAGCCCAGGCGGCTGAAACCCTCGGAAGGAAAAAGGGAGCGCGGAGCCCAGTCGTCTTCCTGGTGCCCCCCCCCCCCCCCCCCCCCCCCACCCCCCACTCTCCCCTCCAGCTGACCCTTCGCCGTCCGGCCATCACTGCAGGGTCAATTCGCCAGCTGGCTGACCGGGGACGCCAGCAGGCAGTTTGGAAGGAAGGTCCCGGGCAGCTTCGCAGTCTGCGGGGGGCGGGAGGGGGAGGGGTTGGGGGGGGTGCCCTCCAAGGACCCTCCACCTGTGAGGCGGAGCTCAGGCGAAGAGAGCAGAGCCGGGAGGGAAGCTGCCCCCCGCGTGACCCTCGCCAGGCAGCCGCCTCCCGCTCGCCTGGGGCATGACGCGCCCCCCACCCACCCCCCGCCAGCCCTCCCGCGCGAAGCGGCCACTGGGACCCCCGCCCTCGCATGCAGGGCGGCGGGGAGGCTCGGCTGGCAGCTCCTAAGGACGGGGGGGGGGGGGGGGCGAGCAGGTGCCTACCTGGCCCCTCATTACGGGGGCGGACTCGGGCAGGTGAGTCCCGTTCCGCCCCCAGGGACCCTTTCAAGTCAGACAAAGGCGCATTGAGCCGGGCAAAGGCCTCCTTGTTCTGCAGGGCCCGCAGGGCGGGGGGGGGGGGGGGGCGAGGGGGCAGTGTTTGGGGGCGGGGGGTTCCCGCCTCGGCCCCCACTGCTGCCTCACTGACCCCCCCTCGCCCCGCCCGCAGCGCCGCGTCCTGCCCGTCGGGTACCGCAGCGGCGCTGCTGGGACGGAGTTGGCACGAAGTGGGCCCCGTTTGGCGCCCAAGGGACGAAGGCGGGCTCCCCCCACCAACCCCACGAGAGACCGTGCCCGGCCTGCTCGCCGCCCAGACCCCCTCGGCCTGGCCCGAAGACCCTTCGCCAACTCCGCCGAGGGTCCCGGGGGAGACACGGCTGCCTCCCAGCGCCCGCTGACCTCGGGCAGATGCCCAAGAGGGGGGGCATCGCGCGGGCCTCTTTGAGGTGGCCCAAGAGCACCAGCATCGCCCGGTCTTCCGTCGGGGAAGTGAGGCCGAGTTACCCAGCAGGCGCCAAGTCGGGGCTGGGCTGGCTAAGAGGCCGATAAACGGGGTGCGGGGGAAGTGGGGGGGGCTTGGCTGGGAGCAAGAGCGGCCCCGAAGGAGGACCTGGCCACAGAAGAGAGAGGGGCCAGGCGAGGGGCCACCTCGGTCTAGCGCCAGAAAGGATGCCCAGCGCCCCCTCCAGCCCCCCCCCCCCGCTCCTTCCCTCGCTACGCGGACCCAATTCTAGCCTGAGACCCGCACGCAGGTGGGCCGGCGGGACAGGAGAGGCCGCCCCCTCAATCCCCACCGCCCGCCCCCCCCCGGACATAAGTTCGCTTGAGAGCCCAAAGGGCGCTGGGCTCCCCCGCTTGTTCCTCCCGGCCGACTTTCGGGGGTCGGGGGGAGAGGAGGAGCGGGCACCACCCAGCAGGGCAAGTCCCCGGTTTCCTAACTCTGGTTTGAGGAGGGGGCCGAGGGGCAAACCGGGATTTACAGAGGCAAGGCGCCCAATGACTGGGTTGGCTGCCTTGGCCGCGGAGGAGGCGGGTCGGTGCGCGGGCTGAGCTCCAGAGACCCGCAAGGGACCCCGCGACTAACTACCGCCCCCCCTCCCCCCTCCCCCGATTCCGTAGCGACGGTTCCCTTTTGCCATCCCCGCCCGGGCGGGGGTGGGGGGAGGCCGCGCTGGGGGAAAGGCCGGCTCGGCGCCCGCCTGCCCCCTTGCTTGGGGGAGGGCCACGGCGGGCTTGCCGGCTCCCCCTCCCCCCCCCTTCTGCCGTCCAGGATTGGCTGCCCCCGGCCCGGCCCGGCCCCTCCTGGCCCCCGAGGCCCATATAAGCCTCTCCGCCGGCCTCCCTGCCCAGCGGCATCATGCGGGCGCAGCGCAGGTGGGCGCTCTGGGGGGGGGGGGACGGAGGGGACGCAGAGGGAGCTCCGGCCTCAGCGTCGCGCCCCGAGGTGGCCCGCAAAGCCCTTGGAGCTGGCGCGGAGAGCCGGCAAGGGCGGCGGGAGACCCCCCGGGGCCCTCCAGAGGTGCCCCAGCCGCTGGTCTCGCTCCTGCGCCCGTCAGGAAGGCCGGAGGCTTTGCCGCCCACCGGCGCGCCCCGTTTGACCCGCGGTCTCTCCTCCGCTGCAGGTTCCGGGCCCTCGCGGCAGCCGCGCTTCTGCTGCTGCTCCTGGCCGTGGTGGCCGCCGACGGTGAGATGCGACCGTCGCTGCCTGGAAGCGGGTCGGGGGAGACCGCGCCGGAAAGGCTGCCATCGCCTCGGGGGGCTGAGCCGGGGGGGGGGGGGGGGGGGGGGGGGGGGCCCTTGGCCGGGGCCCCGCCCCGCCGTGCAGCCCCTCCAGGGGGGGGGGGGGGGCCCCCCCCCCCCCCCCCCGCCCCGCATGGGGCTCCCTCCCTGCTCCCCCCTCCCTGCTCCCCCCTCCCTGCTCCCCGGCGTGTGTTTCAGCGGCCCCCCTCTTTTTGCAGAGCCGCTGAGCTCCCAAGACCCCCCCACCTCCTCCTCCTCCGCAGCCGGCAGCCTGACCTCAGGTACGCTGTGGGGGTCCTTCCCTGCCCGGGACCCCTTTGCGCAGAGCCTGCGGGCTGAGGGGTTCCTGAGCCGCCCCCCCCTTCTTCAGAATCCCCGAGACCCGCCAAAGGCTTATTGGAGGGTGGGGGGGAGGCTGGGGGAGGGGAAGGCAGAAGGAAAAAACAGCTGCTGACCCCCGTGCAACGGTGATGGGGGGAAGGGGGTCTTGGTGGGGGAGCCCAGCCTTTTTCTCTCTCCCCCTTTTCAGAGCCCGGGGAAAATTCTGAGCCCCTCATCACCAGCAAATCGGAGGCCTCTGGAGAAAGTAAGAGAGGCCCCAGGAAGCGGGGTTCGCTTGGGGCCAAAGGGGTCGAGGGGGAGGGGTGAATCCCAGTTGACCTCTGCAAAGGGGTCTGCAGCCCCCCCGGCAGCCGTTTCCATCAGCCCTGAGATGAGCGATGTGGGGGCCCTTTCTCAATCCAACGCTGTGCTTGGGGGGCTTCGGGGGGGGGCAGTGTGCAGCCTCCTCCAAGCTTCCACTCCTCCTCTGCCCTTCCCTCTACAGGTGAGACTGCTGGTCCTGTGGAGCAAGCCACGACAGGTAAGCCACAGGGCAGCCTGGGCACACTCCTGCCCTCTCTGCCCTGTCCGGGCTCTTTGCAGGGCAGCCTGCTTCGGCCGGCGCCTGCCCTGGCACCTGCCCCCAGCCCAGCCGCCCTCCCCCCCTCTCTCGGGCAGGTGGGGCCCCCGTGAGCTTTGCGCAGGATCGATCCCACACGGAGGAGATGAACGGGGACCTGCTGCACAGCGACGCCTCCAACCTCGGCTCCTTCAGCCTGGACCCCCTTCCTGGAGACACCCAGAGTGGTGGGTGGGCCGGGGACCACGGAAGGGGGCTCTTCCTCACGGAGCTGCTGCAGGGGAGGGGAGGGGAGGGGTCTGGCCCTGTGCACCACAGCCAGGAGGGGAACCCCAAAGGCTGGCGGGCCCCACTGGGGCCGGACCAGGCTGCCCAGTGGCCGTGCGGCCAGAGGGGACCCCTCGGGGCACCTCCAGTCAGGCGGTTGCTTCTCCGGGGAAAACCAGCAGCTCTTCCTGGCCGGCAGAGCTACAAACTGGTGGCCCCCCCTCCCCTGCCAGCCCCCTTTGCCGGGCTTTGGTGCCTGGGCAGGGAAGCGACGGGGTCTTTCTTTCCACAGGCCCAGCCATGGAGGAGCCCTCCCGCTCCCAGGAGTCCCAGGAAAGTAAGTCCTCCCCCCTGGGACGGGAGCACCGGGAGGGGCAGCCCCCTCCCTCTGAGGCGCTGGCACCAGTCTCTCAAGGGGAGGGGCCAGGGACCCCGTGCCCACAGGTGCTGCTCTCTTCCCTTCCCAGGCCTGGACCACGAAGTCGATTCGGAAGAGTCCCTGGCTTCCCCAGGTAAGCGTCCTTGGCTCTGCCCGCCTCTCGCCCCCCCTGCAAATGGTGGGGGGCAGCTGGCCAATTCCTATTGGGTGGGTGGGGGAAAGAGGCCCTAGAAGGAGGCCAGGCCTTGCCACACATCCCTCTCAGCGGCCTCTGGGGCTGCTGGGGGACAGTAAGCGAGGCGCCCGGCTGACCCCCAGGGATGCCCAGTCAGTGGCCCAGCACGGAGACTTTGCTCTGGGCAGGCAGCCGACGGGGACAGCCTGGCAGGAAAGTGTCCGAGGGCCCAGCAGGGCTCCTGGGGGCGAAACCCGGGGGGGGGGGCGGAGGAGCTTCTTGCCCAGGGCCGCCAGGTGCAGGGCCCGGTGATGAGGGCCTCTCCTCTCCTCCTCTTCCTCCTCCACAGGCATGTGAGGAGGGCTGCTTCCCCCTCTCCCCAGCCTTCTGGAAGATGCTGTGGTGCCCCGGCTGACCACCAGGACCCGCCTGCTCCTGTGCTCTCTAACCCGGATCCCTGGGCTCAGCCGCCCCTGGCTCCTGCCACAGCTAGGCCCACAATAGGGGCGCTTGTGTGTGCGTGCATGCATGTGTGTTTGTGGGTGTGTGTGTGTAGTGTGGGAAAGGCAGCAACGGCACCAGCATTTTCCTGGGGCGTTGTGGCGTCCTCGTGTCTTCCCAAAGGCCTCCCGGCCGGAGGAGCCAGGCTGCAGCTGCTCTCCCAGTGAGGGGCTAGAAGGGCCCCTGAAGGCCATCCGGCCGGCCCACGCTCAAAAGCAGGGGCCCTTTTATGACTTGTGGACTTCAACTCCTCCTCTAATTCCCCACCTCTGCTCTGGAGCACCCTGTCTCTGTGGCCCCTTCCCGGCTGCCCTCTCCCATCCCAGGCCAGACCCCCTAGGGGCGGGACCGAGCAAAACGGGCTAGGAAGACCCCTGCCCAGGAAGTGGGGGGGGGCTAGGCCCGCAGGGGGAAGAGATTATGGGCCCAGACGATCTGCACAGAACCTTAGCAGAGGCTGGCTGAGAGACGGAGGCGAGACCCCCGGAGGGGCTCCAGGGGGAGGGTCTTCCCGGATTGACAAGGGAGCCCCAGGGGAGGGGTTGGGGGGAGGAGGCCAACCCTGGCCTGGCTCCCTTGGGGCCACCCTGACTGTCTGGAAGAGCCACACAGGCTGGGAAACGTGCAGTTCGGTCTTTTTTAAGGTTTGGGGTTGGAACTGGTGAAGGAGAACGTGAGGTTGGCCGAGGGTGGAGGCCGACCTGGTCGGGGTGTGTGTGTGTGTGTGCGTGTGTGTGTGTGCGCTCTGTAGGTTTCCCCTTGCCCCCTGTAGAGGTGGTGGTGGTGGTCTCTGCCTTTGCTCTTGCCGGCTGCTCCTTCAGCCCCTGTAATCAATAAAGGTGCACAAACTTCTCTGGGTCTCTGGGTCCCGTTTCCGCCCCCCCAGCCAGGAAGGCGTTACCTCCTCGTGCCCCCACACCCCACCATGGGGCCCCGTCTTGCAGCTCGGCCAGGCCCACCTAAGCGGCCTCTGGTGGGAGGGAGGCTGCGAGGAGTCCTCAGATCCTGGGCGTGTGGCACCCCCCCCCCCCGTTGCAGCTGAGTGGGGGGTCTGGGGCAGGAAACGGGACCCCTTGAGCTCTGGCGTCACACCCCAGGCCCGCTCCTTGTGGCCACAGATCCTGGCCCGGAAGGGAGGAAAGAGAGTGACGGAAACCAAGGGGGGGCAGAGGAGCGGGGGGGGGCAGGTAAGGAACAGCCCCCGGGGGCTCTTCATCCCAGGGGAGGCTCATCCTTCGCCAACCCCCCCCTTGCTCAGCCCGGACCCCCCTGCTCCCCCCACAAGCCCCAGCTGCTCCAGGGGGCCGGATGGACGACGAAGGCTTGAGATGATGGAAGCCAGGGACCCCCCCCGTCCCCCCCCTCCCTCTAGGAGGGCTGAAAGCAGGCCGGCCGCCTTTGCTGGAGGGGCCACAGAGGGGGGGCATGAAGTTTGCTGCAGTGTCTCGGCCTGCTGACCCCCCCCCCCGCCCAATTCCTTGACAGCCTGCAGTGGCCGAAGGGCAGACCCCAGCCACGCAAGGCCAGGCCCCTCCAGAAGAACGGCTGACCGCTGGGACAGGGTTGGGCAGGCCCCAGGACGGGGGAAGGCAGCCGGGAAGAGGGTGGGCAGGCTGCCCCGGGAGGCCCCCACCTGCTCCCCTTTCTGGGGCTGCCCCACCCCCACCCCCGGGTGCTGGTCACCTGCCAGCCTGGCCGGACAAAGGGGAGGCGAACAGGGCAGCCCGGCAGCCACACTCACATGGCAGCAGGCTGGCCTTTAGTTTGGGAAGTCTGGGGTGGCCCCGAGTGCGGGGGGGGCCACCCCTTTGTCAGGTGTGCACTGGAGGACGGGGCCAGACATGGGGGCCCCCACGGCCTCCTTCCCCCCCCAGCCCCTTTCAGAGGCTGCAGCTGAGGCAGGTTGGGGGGGGGGGGCAAAAAGTGGACCAAAGCCAAAGGGGGGGGGGGGGGGTTTCCCCCAGGGAGGCTGGGGGAGTGGGCCCGCCCCCCCCCTGCCCCCCCCCCCCCCCCATCCTGGGCCGGCCTCCTCCGAAGCCCCCCCGGAGAGCGAACCCCGGAAGGCGGCGTCCGAGGCGACAAAAGCGGAGAGCGGGAGGGGCCGTTCCGTAGAGATATAGATATATTTGAGCGTGTCTATATAGATATTTATATGGGGGGGGGAAGGGAGGGGGGCGGGGGGGCGTCTTCTCTTATGTAAAAATTCAAAATACAATTTTTCTAGTAACAATCCAAGTGTAAATGTACAAACCCTTCACTGCTAAGCCAAGGGAGAAGAAATCAACCCCACTGGGGGAAGCTGGGGGACCTTCTGGGGGGGGGGGGGGGGGCGGGGGCGGGGCTGCAGCCGTCCCCCAGGGACCCCCCCCCGGCCGCCCGGCCGCTCAGAGGAGCCATGGAGTCTCTCGGGCAGGAGGTGTCACCCTCAAGACGCGGAGAGCGACCGTCGCGGCGAGCGTCCTCTGGCAGCCACGTCCCTCCGAGCCCCACGCCTGTCCTGGGCCGCCCTCGGGCCGGCCGGGCCCACCGCACCGCCTGGGAAGCCCCCTTGTCCCGCAGCAGCTCAGCCCCACGGCAGGGCGGCCTTCCTGGCTGAGCCGGGCCCTAGGAGGCCGCGGGGTCCTTGGGCGGCTCCGTCCCCGAGAGCAGGGAGAGCCCGGGCTCCTCCAAGCAGTCCTCCCCCTCCGGGAAGCCGGGTCCTTCCCCCAGCTCGAAGAAGATGGGCGGGTCCGCGCTGCCCGCGTCCACCGTGCTGGAGTCCACCAGGAACAAGGGCTGGGCCGTGTAGTGGACCAACTGTTTGCCTGCCAAGGCAGAGAAAAGGGGGGTCAGGGGGTGGGAACGGCCAGGACCCCCAGAGGGGGCCACGGGGGAGACCCTCCGCCCTGGGCTGGCCCAGCACGCAGAGCCCGGAGCCCACCTGCGTCGGCCGCGGCGTCTTCTCCCTCGGGCGGCTTCTGCTGCTCCTGGGAGGAGAGGAGCTCCTGGATCTGCAAAAGGGCCCCGCGGGGGTGAGGGGCCGGAGGGGGGGGAGCCCGAGGGCAGCCCCCCCTCACAGAGGCAGCCAAGCAAGAGACCACCAGCCCTGGGCCCCTCCCCCACCCCCTCCCTTCCACCGCCATTCTCGGTGCTCAGAGGGGCCTCTCCATGCTGGGAGGGGGGCAATGAGCGTGCCCCCCAGGCACCCCCTCCCAGCTGAGGCCAGAAGGGCCAGGAGCCCCCAGGGAGGGAGGGAGGACCGAGGGCCCTGCTGGGGAGGGGGCCGGGCTGGGGGACCTCTGCAAACTCACGCTGGCCAGGCTGCTGTCCAGATCTGGCAGGTTCATGTCCGCCACCCCCATGGACGGGCTGAAGAGCTGGCGGGAGAGGAGGGGGGAAGGGAGCCGGGTTAGGGGGCAGGGGCCACTCCCCCTGAAGCGCCTCGCCCTCCTCCCCCCCCGCGAGTCCCCGAGAGGAGGAGGCGGGGGGCTCACATCCAGCAGGGCGCTTGTGTCCACGCTGAAGCTGTGCGTGGTCAGCATGTTCTGCAGGTGGTCCAGGCTGGAGTCGATGGTCTCCAGGTGCTCGTTCAGCTCATTCCTGGGGAGGCAAAAGGGCACCTGGTGGGGGGCGAGGGCAGAGCAGGCCACGGGCTCTCCGGGCTCGGCCTGCCAACACCACTATGGGCCGCCTGTCCCTGCCCCGGGGG